CATCATGCCAAATCTGTGTCACAAATGACCAAATTTGAACAGCAATAAAAACGCTTTTCTTTTGTTTCTGGTTTAGCCATGTGCTCGTACTGGTTTTGTGTAAAGAATTGAAACACCATATCCTTTCTTATCCGTTTTGCAATTTCCTTTTATCTACAATCTAACATATAATGGTGTAGACATATTCATATCATAAGCATACTTTCAATTTAACAATTCATATGATCTAAGAATTTAGTGGACAAATAAAAAAACATGAATAATGATATTCTGACTATCAATATAACACAAGCCATAAGAGAGTAATCGGTAAGAAATTCTTCCATGTAAAACTTTTGATATAAAAATTCAAATAAAGATTGTATCGCAGAAGTCATTTTCAAATGGATGTACAAAATTTTACTTATCTACAAAAACAAACAAAATCAAACGTTCGACTAAACAATTATAAGAATTTAAAAAAATATTTGTTATTATATCTGTTTGCAAAGGCAACTTAGATTACCATAAAACCAATTTAATACACATAAATATTTCATTTATAATCGGCGAAACTACACATAATAAATGTTTCCTTCAGGGTTGCGGATTGTTAATAGATTTTTATTTTTAATGACTTTTTAATACGACCCGATGAAATTTTTTTTTACATGTAAGCATATTGTCCTGCTGTGAATTCCGTGCATTTGTAACTTTGAACAAATGTTACCTTTATCTCTTATCAAATTATATATTTTTATTTGTGTTGGGATCATCATGATTTCTTTTTTTTTTTTGTTTTGGTAAATTGTATTTACATTTTTAAATGATTAAACTTATTTTCATTTTCCTTTCTTTCCGATATTTTAGTCAAAACAAGACAGAAATTTACATATTCGATTGAAAACGATCATTATATATTTATGTATACATGTTTTGTCAAAATTTATTTCTCTTTAAAATTGGTTCGGTTTATTTCACTGATATGAAATATTGATCAAAACAATTTTTCGTGGACCATCAATCAAGTAAAGCACTAACAACATGCACTCAATTATATTTCAATGTGATGAAATGTTGATTATCATTAAAAGTAAAATCACAAAAATATTGAACTCCGAGGAAAATTCAAAAAGGAAAGTCCATAATCAAATGGCAAAATTAAAAGCTCATACACATCAAACGAATGGATAACAACTGTCATATTCCTGACTTGGTACAGGCATTTTCTTATGTAGAAGATGGTGGATTGAACCTGGTTTTATAGCTAGCTAAACTTCTTACTTGTATGGTATGACAGTCGCATCAAATTCCATTATAATGACAACGATGCGTAAACAAAACAAACAGACACAATAGGTTAAAATGTCAAAATAGGGGTACAGCAGTCAACATTGTGTTATCATTTTAATCACTATAAAAACAAACAAATGTAACAAAGAAGCACAAAAAGGCATACATCAAATTTAACATCCTCACTTTGCTTTTTTATTATACGATTTTATTTAACTATGTAAAATCCACCCATAAAGGATTGAAGGTTTAAAGTACTGGCGTAGAATCGCGCGTTTGACGTCACACAGGTAGATATAAAATAATTTTGTCGTTCAAAGAATGACGGGATACATAAGTACAGAGTCACGTGAAATGGATATCACAACAAACAGACTTAACAGTAAAAGTAATATTAATAAAATGAAATAATTGTGTCGTTCAAAGTATGACGGGATACATAAGTACAGAGTCACGTCAAATGGATATCACAAAAAACAGACTTAACAGTGAAAGTAATATTAACAAAGACAAATAAAAGAATACTATAACACGTTATTAAGATGATAAACAACGTCAGTACGCATAATCTATACTTCAAGACCATCGTGTATTATTTGTGAAGTTGATACGGAATATTTATCAACAAGGTCTTGGTACATTCCGATGAACTTTTTTAGAAAAAGGACCAGACGTTCTTTGACATACCCCTGGTTCATCAACTTTCTGCTCAGACACTGGTGACGTTTTACAAAGTCTGAGTAAGAGCTGCAAGCTCTTGGATACCGAATAAGTTGGGAAATGTATATCCCATATGCAGGTGAAGTTGGTATATTGCTACTAAGGTGGGGGAAATTGATAACTTCAAAATTAAAATCGTCTCGTTTGTCATAGATTCTGGTACTGAGATGACTGTGTATGTCAAATTCGAAATATAAGTCTAAAAATGAGGCTGAGGCTGAGGAAGCCGTGTCTGTTGTTTCTTTAATTTCTAGTTCTGGGGGATATATTAATGGAACCCAATCAGAAAAGTTCGGATTGGTAATGGAAAGAACATCATCAATATATCTGAATGTGAAATTGAATAACCTGGCTTTTTTTATCTTCTTGTTTTGTCTGAAGGAACTCCGATTGATATGAAAATAAGAAGAGGTCGGTAAGGAGAGGCGCACAGTTTGTTCCCATAGGAATGCCGACAATTTGTTGAAAAAGTCTACCTCCAAATTCAACAAATATGTTGTCAATAAGAAACTCCAGCATACTGATCACTTGTTCCTCTGTGTAGCATGATTTACCCTTTTGTTTCCTATTAACAAAATATGCCTTATGGTATCCAAAAGTAATAAATGTATAGCGTATTAAAAGGATTATTTCTTTTAGACGTTTTTATCAATTTCACATGGGGAATGGTGGTATCATGGGTTGAAAAATCAAAAGTTCTGATAGAACTAATTTATCAAATATACTATTGAAAATTTAAAGTGTTTTTTAACTTCTTGTTTTCAAATTGTTTAGATTCCTACTAATGCGTATTAAGTAGATGAAACGCTCGTGTTGTGTGCGAAATTATAACCTCTGATACTTTGATGAGTTCATTGTACCAAGATGAGAGAAAAATACACGGAAAATCAGTTTTCTCTGCATATTTGATATAAACTGCTCTGCAATTATATGAATGTTCTTTACGTTTCTACTTCAAAGGTTTATATACCTACTTGATTTTCACTTTCTCGACAAATACAGGGATCGATAGAACTTCGTCCATTAAACGCAGAATATAGTCTCCTAGAGTGCTTGTATTCATTAATTTATTAGAAAAAACAACTTTATTGTTTATAAATGATACATATTCTTCAGTTGTTGAGATCGATATCTTTTTCAAATGTAATACGATAAATATTTATTACCTGCTTTAGAAACATGAAATCCTTACAAATTTAAACCAAATCATCGCGAAAATCCCAAATAATATTTTGAATTTGTTCATGATCGAATTTCGAAATACTCAAAGCAAATGTTAATAATACATTACATGGCAGTAATTTGTCTTTTACCTTGCATTTTTCTATCTGAATTATTTCCTTTTTACTTGCTTTGCCTATTAGTTCTATATATCTTTTATTTTGTCAAACCATTACAATTACAATGGTATACAGACACTACATGACATCAATAAATACAGACATAAATACATGAATACACAGAGCAAAATATGTACGCTATTTACAATTATACTGATTGTATTTAGCCAGGAGGGCACACATGGGAATTTATATATCTTATGAAGGTATAAAGCTTTCTCAATTTAGATTTTTTGGTTAAATTCATAACTTCCTTGAACATCAATATATTTGGACGAGATACATACTGTTTATCAATACATTTGTTTCTTTTTACTGACATCTCTTTACACTTCATAATATAATGAAACTCATCTCCAAGATCTTTTGAATTACACAATTTACAAGTTCGTCTATCTCTCTGAATATTTGTCTATCTCCCTATCTCAGTAGGTAGTTTATGGTTAATGGTTCTAAATTTGCATAAAGTGTAAATATCAAGAAATTCTAAAATATCAAAATAGTTCTCAAAACCAACAGTATTCTTAAAAATTCGATAATTTAATATCTTCGAACATGCTTGCACATTTGAAAACCATATGTGTTGAAACTGATCTTGAAGTGATTTTCTGATTGTATTCTTTAACCAAATGTCACTGATACATGTTTGATATAACCACACAGAAGATAATCCCGTTTCATTAAAAATGGAAAAATAGATTCAACATGATTTAACCAACTAAAGTTTACATCATTTTCATTTGACGCAAAGTAGTTTATAAATGCTAGCTGATAATTTAGTCGGTTTACCACATACTAATTTCACCCAAAATGACATCATACGGACTTTAATATCTAAAGGAGAAGGGGCTATAATGGCCAATATTGGCCTCAATTTCGAGAATTTTTCAAATTCTACTTATTCGTATGTGTATGGCTTTCTTTTTGCGTTGGACATATTCATTTTATGAAAAAAATGTTTTTTTGTAGTTATGACGTCACAATGCTGTGTTTTGACATCACTTCACGTGCATATTTGCTGGCTTTTCGCAATTTTCTAGTCATTTTCACTAAGTTTTTTTACGAAAAAAGTACCAGCGCATTCTTGCCCCAACAAAATATTTTGTCAGAGCAATAATATCAACAAAAAGCATCTTATGTTGAAATATTTTCATGGGGCAAAGCTGCGCTCATACTGAATTTCAATTAAAAACTTGCTCAAACCGGCATCAAAAATCTAAAATTATCGTCCGTTTTTCATATATACCGGTACGCAAATTTTGTCAGACAAAGAGTTGACCAGGAACAGATGTATTTTTTTAACAGAATTTTTTGTCAATGGTTGATTACAATAAAGTTTGGCTATAGATAGTAAATAACAAAGTGTTTGTCTTCATTTTTTTGGGTATATATATATATAACATAGCCTCTCAAGCATATCCTGGCCCTTGCGTATATTTGTTGTAAACGATTACGGAACTGACGCACGGAATTTTACTAGTGCTGTTGTTAAGAAGCTTTTTATAGCGGAATAGAAATCAGCGTATCATTCGTTAAATACTTGATATTGCCAGACAGAATTGAAAGAACTTAATATAATTTAAAAGATGTGATCATATTTTTGAAAATGGTGGAATTTGTACTCCGTGAAAGGTAATTAAGTTATATGCATAAACTACACCATGAACATGTCACGTAAAAAGTTCTTCCATCTTTTCATATAATTATCTCTAAGAAAAATCGAAATAAAAACAAAATTTTAATTATATGATTTATTTTCTATTAATTGCTTCAAAGTTATTCAAAATTAAGTATTTAAAACGGAACACAGATTACTAAACACGTATAAAATTCCACGGCACAGCAGACGAAAACTTCATTTTCATTTTGCACGTCTGCATGGTCTGTTTGGTATAAAACAAAAATAATTTAGACCATGACATAATCAACAATTATGAAATGGCCATATCAATGATATAAACAATTTAGTTGAATCGTAAGTAAGTAGTAAAGAAATGAAAACGAAATAATATTGTTCCGTCCGTTTATGAATCAAAATGATAAATATGAGTTATTAACGTCATGTAGTTGATGTGGCAGTGTGGTTCATATCGCCTACACGCTACGTTAGTAAGAAAAGGATTTACGTTCGAGTCTCATCTTGACCAATTTTTTTTTTTCATCGTTTCGTAATTTTTTACATTTGTCGTTTTAAATCATATTATCATTTATCAATAATTTTGTAAAGACACCTTAAACAACAAAAAATTAAAAAAAAAGATAAATAAAAGTATATACCCGAACTTTGTTAATTGTTAATTCTCAAGCTACATGTACTATAGTATCATTATCGACAGATTTGCACGTGTTTTACTCATGAAGAAATGGTATATGTGCTAAAGAGGAAAGTTCCTTCTGTTGACTTTCATGATAGATATAAAAAAAAGAAACAAAATCAACATGCACCAATATATATAAAGACGTGATTTTTTTTTTTTTTTTTTTAAGACATAAATGGATTCTGCAGACAGTGGACCTAAATTATTACATGATAATTTCCTTGTAGAATTAAAAATGAGTAAGTATCCATATAGTTTTATGCAATCGATTATTTGATACTGAGTGCAGAAGATTAATAGTTCAATTAGAAGCATTGCGAAACCAGATTTAAAATTAGATATTTATGCGCAGCATCCAGAAGTAAAAGTATAAAATATGGATTACATTATGTTATAGTCTGAAAATGTATGAAATATTTGCCACTGGATGTCAATACATTCATTTAATATTCATATAACCAAATACATCGATGAATTTGACAACTTAGAATGTTATTTCTACTATGGAAAATCTTATGAAAATTTCATGTGATGCACTGGCTTGCATAATCTACGCTATTAAGAAGAGTGACAGACAGAGTTTCATCTTCAAAGGAATTTATTATATTTGATCTAAATTTTGTGTTATGTGAATAACAAACATCAAACATAAAACCTCAACATGACTGTTACTTAAAAAAGCAATTTATGCTGAACAGTCATTACAGTGCCGGGCTTGTCTTATGTCGAAAATGTTCTGGTATTCTCTGTAGTTGGTTTGCTGTCTTATTTATTCGCCTCCCCATTTAATATGGCTATTCTGCACAACACATTGTAAAATGTATTCCGCCTATATTCATAAACGGTTATTTCTATTCTCTTCTTTACAATAATAATCATTAAATTTAATCATGTTATTTCACCAATATTCTTTTAGCACAGGCTAACGTTAGATTTTGCAATACAGTTAACACATATATATTTAACAAAAACAGATTGCAATGAAATTGTTTAGGAGTTGGATAGATTTTGCAATTGAATGTACCAAATATTATTTGTATCCTCTTATGTTGTTTTTTTTTTCAGAATGGACAACATAAGAAAGGGACGAAAAGATTTTAAATGTATATTGTGTGAAAAAAGAACAAAACCTGGAAAAAGAAGACCTTTGTGTGGAGAAGCAAATAAAAATCTGCGCAATTTTCTCAGTAAGAGTTTCCTTGTTTTACCTAATGATGATGACGTTATATGTGATACTTGTCGACGGAAATACTACAGAGAAGAGCAAGCACAAGTAAATACACCAACTGTTCTTACAACTGATACAAATACAAATGATCCTGATTTTATGCCACCATCCGCACCTAAAAGAGCAAAATTAAGTTCTCCTTTATCAATATCGCTTCCTATTTCTTCAACAATTAAAGGTCATGCACAATGTTGTCTTTGCAAAAAGCGTGGTCCAAAACTTATGGTTGTTCCCCAAGAAGCACGATTTAACACATTTTTGGAAAAGAATATAATTATTCCTGCCGGATCACGTTGCTGTCCTCGTCATTTATGTACTGAAGGTTTTACAAAAGAAGCTAACGAAGACATAACAAGTGTGTATACTGTTTCTGACTTCAATCGCAGCGGACTACTTGAATTGATCGATACAATTAGAGAACATGCTTTAAAAAATAAAAACGCTAGAATTGACTTTGATAAATCTTCTTCTTTAAATGACACAGATTTTCGAAATTTGACTGGCTTAACAATAACTGATTTTGAAGACTTATGTTCTCACATTCCAAACTCATCTATAAGAGATACTCGAGTACGAAGCATGAGAACATGCATTGGTATATTTTTGACCAAACTTCGTTCGGGGATGTCTAATAAGATATTAGCAACTTTGTTTAATATAAGCAAAGATTCTATCAGGAAAGCTATATCATCCGCAAGAGATGCAGTTAAACAGCACTTTACACCAAAATATTTAGGTTTTGATCATGTATCCAGAGAAAGTGTTATACAAAACCACACTCGTCCACTGGCACAAACACTATTTGGTGATATCACAAACACAACTGCTATACTCGTAATTGATGGTACTTATATTTACATACAAAAGAGTGGACAATTTAAATTTCAACGTAGTACATATAGCATGCACAAATACCGCAACCTGATTAAGCCAATGATGTTTGTAACTACTACTGGATACATTGTAAGTGTGATTGGACCCTACCTTTGTAACAGCAAAAACAATGATGCCAAAATTTTGAACTCAATTTTTAAAAATAACTTGGAGAAAATTAAGGAATGGTTTGAAACAAATGATGTTGTTGTGGTTGATCGGGGATTTCGGGACAGTATCGACCTTTTAGAAGAATTTGGTATTCAAATTAAAATGCCAAGCTTTCTCAAACGTAAAGAGAAGCAACTTTCGGTTGAAGATGGTAACACAACACGTCTAGTAACAAAGGTCCGCTGGGTTGTTGAGTCCGTTAATGGTAGAATCAAGCAGTGGCGATTGCTTGACAAAGTACTACCCAATTCCCTTATACCGTATGCTGGTGAATATACACGTTTTGTCAGTGCCATATGTAATAAGTATAGACCACCACTTAATTCTGGTAATGAAACTGAAGACCTTCTCTTAGGTACAAAAATGCTTCACATGTCAAAGAAGAAAAATGAGCTCATGGAACGAGTATCAAATGAAAACTTGCATTCCAGAAGTGGTAGGTGGCAAAAAATAGACGGCAACGATTCAGTTGAAGATTTTCCGAAGCTATCGGAGGAGGACATCAGGGACATAACGCTCGGTGTATACCAGCTTAAACTAGCTAAGAGTTATACTGAGGAACATTTAGAAAATGACGAATACTATGAAGTCATGCAACAGGGACATCAACTCATTAGGGTTAGAATGGCAAGTAGGCATACAAGCAGCAAATCGCATAATCTATGGATTACATACGATGACTGCTGCATAAAGGCTTGGTACTGTACTTGCAAGGCCGGAGCTCGAATTGTTGGCACTTGTAGTCATATTTCCTCAGTGATATGGTTTCTCAGTTTTTACCGGCATCAAAGTTGCAAAGGAAATCAAGCAAAGCAATGGAGGGACTATGTCCATGATGCTAATCAGCCTGAAGTCATTGATGATAGTGACAGTGAACCCGAGGAGTAAACATTAAACATTTGTATTCTATACTGAACAATTACTTGGCCATATAGGGCATATCGTATAATGTCAATTTTGTTTTGTATGTCATTGTTGGAAATGAAACTGACGTACGTCGGTATCAGGGTACCACTATGTGGAATATTACCAACAACTGTCAATTTTATAGAAAAGAACAGCAGTTAAAGTGTTTTTGCCTGATATATACATGTACTTCCTTTAACATTTCTAAAGCAAAAAACAAATGTCAAATATGATGGCTTGACTGAGATTTTTCTAAATTTTTTAATGGTGATACTTAAGAAGTTTTTTCATTATATTTAATATTCAATTCATGCTTAATTTCAGTACGGAAAATCTTAAACAACAATTGAAATGATTTCAATTCAAGTTTCATGTGTATCTGCAGATGTCGAATATAGAAGGGAAGACATTTATTGCAATAGTTAAATTGGTAAATTCGAACAAATTGTTACACCAAACTGGCATAATTATTATTGATAGCATAATACCTGAATTTGTGATAACTGTTGTTTAAAAAAAAAATCATAATCATTGTCTAGTAAGACGAGTTTCTTAATCAACAGTTTTGTTGATCTGATATACTATCTCCTGATGTAGCACTTGTAACCTTGGCAACATTTAAAAAAGGAAGGTTGAGGTAATAAAAAAATGGGGTGGGGGTGGGGTAGGGGGATGCACATTATATTTTTTAATTTGATATGAAGAACATGTGAAAAGTTAATAAAGATAAACGTGCTAAGAATATTTCAGTTTTAAGAAGGTTGAGAAATTGTTGAAATGTATAGTTTATGAAATTGCGAACTTTATTCATATATTATCTCTATACTTAGTACTGTACGATTTAAATGTTATACCTTCTTTTTGTTTTTATCAACAGGCTACATAAAAGTACACACAATACTCATTTTGGTTATTCAAGGTAAAAGAATACACAAACAATACTTGTTGATTCTCTCTTGTGAAAAAAATTCTGTAATTTAGTCATACATAGAACAAAATTTTAACTTTGTTGTTACCATAGCAACTATATTACTGATATTAAATAGTTAAACTTTATATCAATTTTGTTCTTCATTGTATAAATACAATGTTACACTAGTAATAATGTATTCACGTTGATTATTTAAGGTTTAATCTGTTGTAAAAAGTACACAATTCATAAAAAAAGGATAAAATATGCAAAAAGCTGATATTTTAGCTTAGTCGGCATACCATTTTTATGACGTCATAACAAGAAAACGGCAAAAGATAACTATTAAATCCTTGGTGTTTTATAAGCTCCATATCATAGATATCAATTGAAAGAAATATCAATAGATTTGGAAGTGGGGCCAATTTTGCCCCTTAGAGCCCCCTCTCCTTTATGTGATATCATCCAAGTTCACCATATACTACACAATTTGGGGTAGAAGACTTTAGGTGCAGAAGAAGCTTACAGAATTTTAATTGAACTCTCTCCAGAATGTCGTTATTCCCAAACCCCAAAAAATTCACAACCGTACAATAAGACCGGTTTCACTAATTTGTCAAATAAATCCAATTGACAACTAATAGATAAGCCATGTTTTCTCCCCTTTTCGATCACCTCATGCATTGACTTTGTAGCTTTTTCTGCTAGGTGTTTTCTACAGTATTTAAATGTGCCATTTTGGGAAAAATAGATCCCAAGATAGTTAAATACTTGAACGATATCTATGACAGAGTTATTATATGTAAAACTGAGATTTTTCGGTTGTCTACCATTACTAAAAATTACAATTTTTGTTTTTTCTACATTAACTTTCATTTTCCAGACATCACAATATGAGTGAAATTTATCTAGCAACAATTGATGGTTCTTGACCGATTCCGTCATTAGCACAGTATCATCTGCATAGAGAGTTGCAAAAAGTTTAACATAAATATCCCTTTTTTCTTCTAGTGCATCTTCAATAGTGTTCAAACCAATCAAGTTCGCGTTGATGAAATAAAGGCAACAGTAGTATACCGGTGTTCAAAAGTCATAAATCAATTAAAAGAAAACAAATCCGGGTTACAAACTAAAACCGAGGGAAACACATCAATTATAAGAGGAAAACAAAGGAACAAAAAAAAACACTGAAGTGCAACAAAAACAAACGCAAAATACATAGAAACGAACTATTTGATAACAAGTGCCTTATTTCTTACTTGGTATAGGACATTTTAAGAAAAAATGGTGGGTTGAACCTGGTTTTATGGCTAGCCAAACCTCCCGCTTATATGACAATGTTAAAAAATATCGCTAAAATGACAACACTACGTGACAGAAATTCTGCACAAACACACGCAAGAACACTCATCACAGAGAAACGCACAAACAAATAATATAATAGTTGACACAACATGCAAACTGCAGAACAACAACGAACCTCCTCTATCAAAGATAGACACCACAAACAGTGACGCACTTACGTAACAAACATGCAGTCTCGAACTTTATACAAATATTTTCGCAATACCAGTCCAAACAATGTTCATGACAATGATGGAATTGAAAGGCAATTTTATAAATTATTTGGACTACAAACGATAAGACATAACACATTATCCAACCGAAACCATAACAGAAACATCAAAAATAAATACATGAATGTTGGATGTACAAAATACCGAGACACGTCGTAGAGCAATGCAAATTTACACTCGGTATAACAGTCATATTCTTGAATAGGTCACGTTCGGTACTTAGCAGACAGACGACATAGATTTTACACCAAAATCTAAGACGTAGTAAAAATGTCATTAGTTAATTTAGACACAGACACATCGTATAGATCAACCAATTCGTGATGGTGTCAATAAAATTTACGGAGTGTCATTTTTAATCTTTCCTCCTCATAACTCTGTTGGAGCAGTTTCTGCGTTAGGAAAACACTCCTGTATATGAAGTCAGTATAGTGTGAACATGCACGAGCATAACGTATCAATTTAGATATGTAAACACCATACGACGGAAAAGAGGGTATGTTACTGCTGAGAAATGGGAAATCATTAATCTTAAAAAGTTTTCCAAATCATTTAAGAAAAGTGAGAACAGAAAAGGAGATAAATTTTAGACCAATATTGTATGAAAAATAATATGATGTATTGCCATTATAAGATAAACATGACTTAATATTATCATACATCTTATGAATTATGGTATACATATGACCATTAATGTTATTCAATAACATATTTTACCATAAAGCGTCTCTTCTGACTGTGTCAAACGCTTTTTGTAAATACACATATGCACAAAACATTTTTTTCTTTTTTAATTTCAAAATTTCAAAGAAAGAATGCAGTATAAATATGCAATCTACTGTTGAATATCCACTTTTAAATCCAAATTGATTTTCATTTATTAACAAAACTTCATCGGAAATGATAATCTATGACATAAGATCGAAGTGAATAAGTAACTGACAATTGTGATAGGTCTATAGTTTTTTTGATCAAATCTGTTTCACTTATTCTTATATAATGGATTGATCGTGCCAATTACCCAAGATTCTGGTATAATCCAAGTTCTAAAAACTAAGTTAAACAATTCAACATATACATCAATTAAAAAATCAAAAGAAGATTTAATGTATTCATTTATAATTATATCGTCGCCACAGGCTTTCTTACTTTTTAGTTTCTTAATACAATTCATAATCTCGTCCTTTGTAATTAGACCATTAAGTGTACCATTTAATTCATTTAAAATATCTTGGTCAACATTTGGTAAAACCATAGGATCGCGGGTGCCTGAATTTAGATCTCTGAAAAAGTTAAGAAAATTATCAAAATTTATGTCCGGTTGTTTCGTGTGTTCCCGCTTATTTAAAATATTTTAATACTCTTTTGAATTTTGAGATCTGAGGTTATTTATTTTTTAGCCATATCCAGTCTATGATTTTTAATGGCTTTGTCCATACCTTTTTTATATTTCCTCTCAGAATCTTTAACTTCGTTATATAATAAAAGCGAAGGTGTTGATATGAGCCTGCGCTTAAGTTTTCTTAAGCTTTGCCTCGCAAATTTGCAGTCATAATTAAACCATGGCTTGTCTCCTTTGTTTTTAGGGGCTCGCCTTTTCGGTATATCAGTTCGCATTTCAAACGTTGTCTTAGCAGAAAGAACTAATGCAATCTCATTTACAAATGCGTTAACATTGTTATCATCAACATTTTCTTTCACATTTTTCAAATTACGTAACAAACTGTCTAATCTATCAACATTGATATTAGCTCTAAATTCAGGTGCCTTTTTATGATTCCATTTATTAATCTTTTGTCTTGACTGATCATTCGGACTGTCCAGGTCATTACAATCTATAACAAATGCATTGCTTTGTAAGCGAAAATACAATGGACAATGAACATCTGAATACAAGTGTTTAACACATCAAAATCAATAAGTTTCTCTAAAACGTTAACATTACTCTGACAATAGTCTACAACGCTAGCATTTTTGCAGGTAAATTTCCCAGTTTTATCATTTCCCAGTCTACCATTCATAATGAATATGTTGTTACATTTACATAAACCAAGCAGGTTATTACCGTAACGTGTTTTCTCTTCATCCATACTGATACGATCTCTGGGTATATTATACAATTCTAAATTACATACATCATTTATAGATACACCCTCCAAATCTCTACTTATATCTTTTTCATCAATTAATTCATAATCTTTCTCATTTGAGGTACGTCCGTAAAAATCACCAATAATAAAAATATGTTCAAATGTGGTTGAAAATTCCAAGTATTCATTTTCAATGTCATTGAATTCATCAGGGGAAGAATATGTTGTATATTCTAGTGGGATATAGACTACTCCGAATAGTATATCCTCGTTATTTAAAAATTTAGAAATTTTACACCATAGAACATATTTACTATTTGTTTCAAGCACTTCTATAGAGTATTCAGATTTTCTATATACCCGATTATAATGCCACCTGATTTCACTCTTGATATTTTACGTCTATTTTTGAATTTTGATTTGTAACCAGATAAATGAATATCATCCATATCGTCAGTTTTTGTTTCAACAAAGCAAGCAATATCATGTTTTCGGATCAAATTTTAAAATTCTGGATATTGTAGCCTATGTTTTAGGCCACAACAATTTACATATAAAAGATCTATAGCTTTTGTTTTTAGACAAATCTACAGTTTCATCAAAAGAGGACTAACTTATACCATCATGATTTATATTAACATTTTAATCAATATCTTAATCGACGTTTACATTTTCAAAAATACAATTAATCTGTTCAAATGTTTCATCATTACACAT